ACTCATTCATTCCATAGTCCCTGAGATTGATGAAGATTACTTATCCATAGAGACTGCCCAAGATGTTTGGGAGGCATATTTGCAACATGTTCCCAAAAGGGAAATTTTTCTCAACCATTTGAGTTGTGCCGGTCTATTGAACGCTCAGTACAGGGGGAGCAGACAATTTTTCAGTACTACACCTTTCTGACTAATGGTTCGAAACGCCTAGATCATCCCCTGAATTACAAGCCCATCTGCAAAGTTGACTCAATTGGTTCGTGAAAGTTACTTGCACAAGAAAGCGTTTTCAAGTTCCTGGAAGGCCTCAATGTGAAGTTTGATCCAGTCCAAAGTCATGTCCTTAGCATGGTTGTTCTTCCATCACTTTAGGAAGCCTTTGCTTATGCCCAAAATGAGGAGAGTCATCGTTCTTCTATCTTACCACCATCTTGTACAGACCGTTCAACATTACTTTCTGCTCCTTTTCGAGATGGGGCAGATTTGTCACTTCCTTCTTCTCATCCTTCAGGGAAGGATAATTTGTTCTGTGATTACTATCACCGACCAAGGCATACCCATGAAAATTGTTGGAAGCTTCATGGTAATCCATCAGCGGGTTGAGAGGATCGCTCTGGTCATAGAAGCGGCCGTTCTAGTCAGTCGAGAGGACATGGGTCTCACTCTCACGCTCATCAGTCTAGTGCTATAGAGAAACATGATCCAGCTCCAGTTATGCAAAATTTTAATTTGGCCAATCTGCTTGATCGCCGGTCTTTGCACCATCTGCTTGATCGCCGGTCTCCTGTTCCTCCAGGTGCTTCTTCTTCTTCTTCTTCGTATGCCCGTTCGGGTAACTCGGCCTCATCTTCTAGTATTTTTCTATCCCATAAGGCCTTGTCATGGATTACTGATTCTAGTACCTCAGATCATATATTTGGGTCTTCTGATCTCTTCTCAGACTATACACCAGCCTTTGATCAAGATAAAGTTAGGATTACTGATGATACTATTTCTTCTATCTCCGCAAAAGGTTTAATCAGTGCCACCCCTTCTCTATCTTTGTCTTATGGTTTACATATTCCTAATTTTTCTGTTAACCTATTGTCATTGAGACGTCTTACTTGGTATTTGAGTTATAGTGTAACCTTTTCCCCTGATTCTTGTCTATTTTAGGACCATATCACAAAGAAGACGATTGGCAATAGTAGAGCAGAAAATGGTCTCTATTTACTGGATTAGACTAACAAGCTGACTCATAATTCCATCCAGTCTCCATCCACCAAGGAAGATTTATTGTTGTGACATCAAAGTCTAGGACATCCATCTTTTTTATTACTTAGACATTTATTTCCTTCTGTTTTTATCAAGAATAAAGTTTCTGAATTTCATTGTGAATCTTGCCAACTTGGCAAACAACACCAAGCTTCTTTTGCTCCTAGTAATAATAAAAGCTCAATTCCTTTTTCTTTAATTCATTCTGATTTTGGAGTCCCTCTTGTGTGATGTCAATGAAGGGTCATTGCTGGTTTGTTACTGTTATAGATAACTGCTCTCGTGCTACTTGGGTGTACCTCATCAAAGAAAAAAGTGAGGTTTTCTCTATATTTCAAAACTTCCATAAGACGATTAGTACCCAATTTGGGGCGGTTGTTAAAGTTTGCATTCTGATAAAAGGGATGAGTACATTGATTCTAGGTTGGCGAGATATTTTTCCAATCATGACCATCATCCATCAAAGATCTTGCACTAACAACCCTCAACAGAATAGGATTGCAGAGCGCAAGAATCGTCATCTCCTTGATATGGCTCACTGTATGTGTTTCTATGGGCATACCTCAGGCCTACTGGGGCGAGGCCGTTCTCAATACTACCTATTTCATTAACCGTCTTCCTACACAAGTGTTACAAAAAAGGGTACCTCTTCAAGTTCTCTTAGGTTCTGAGTCTCAACTTTCCATTCCTCCATAAATCTTTGGTTGTGTATGTTTTGTTCATAATCATTTCCCTTCTCAAGGTAAGTTGGATCCTCGTTCTCTCAAGTGTGTGTTCTTGGGTTACTCACCTACTCAAAAGGGGTACAAGTGTTATCATCCTCCCTCTAGTAAATGGTTTGTGTCCATGGATGTCACCTTCTTTGAGTCTCAATCCTACTTTATGTCTGGTCCAGCGTCCCAGTCACCTCTTCAAGGGGAGTCTTAGTGTGAAGAGAGTCCCGTTGCTCCTATTGTTCTTGGCCCAGTACCACCACCAGCGGTACCTATTACTAGCAATACATAATCGAATGTAGCCAAGAACCAAGAAGTACAAGTCTATGTCAGGGATAAAGAAAGTCAGAAAGTTACTTAGATATAAGAGACCATTTATGATCAATCACTGTCATCTTCTTCTCTTGATAAAGGTCCAGGTAATCCTAAAACTCCTGATATTGCTACCTTTGAGTTTGAGCCTACCGATCTTGATATACCCATTGCCAAGAGAAAGGGTGTAAGATTTTGTACTCATCATCCTATATCTAACTTTGTGCTTTATTCTCATTTGTCCTCTTCATATAAAGCTTTTGTGTCAAAAATTCTCTGAGTATACCTAATCATTTTTAGGATGCTCTTACTATTCCTAAGTAGAAATTGGCCATGGTAAAGGAAATGAAAGCACTTCATAAGAATGGCACTTAGGATTTGACTGAGTTACCTAGGGGCAAACGAACAGTGGGATACCAATGGATATACACAGTGAAACACAAGGCGGATGGTTCAATTGAATGGTATAAAGCCAGACTTATGACAAAGGGCTTTACTCAGACCTATAAAGTGGACTACTAAGAGACATTTGCTCCAATTGCAAAAATAAATTCAGTCAGAGTGCTTCTTTCTCTTGTAGCTAATCTAGATTGGTCACTTCACCAATTTGATGTGAAGAATACTTTTCTTCATGGTGATATAGAAGAAGAGGTGTATATGGATATTCCCCCTAGTTTCAAAGCTCCTCAAACAAAGGGTAAGGTGTGCCAACTGCAAGAATACTTATATGGTCTCAAACAGTCACCTAAAGCCTAGTTTGAGAGATTCACTCAAGCAACGCCGAAATATGGCTTCAAAAGAGTCAGGTTGATCATACTCTGTTTGTTAAGCATTCCCCTCATGGTAAGACCATTGCTCTTATTGTATATGTGGATGGCATAGTACTGACTGGAGATGATGAAGAGGAAATTTCTCCGCTGAAAAGGTATTTGGCAAGTGAGTTTGAAATCAAATACTTGAAGAACTTGAATTACTTTCTGGGAATCAAAATTGCTCGCTCCAATGATGGAATTTTCATCTCACAAAGAAAATATGTGCTTGACCTATTGAAGAAAACAAGAATGCTTGGATGTAAGGCCTGTGATACTGCACTGGAACGTAATCAAAAACTTGGTGATGATGAAAGGGGAGCAGTCGTTGATAGGGGGAGTTATCAGGGACTAGTAGGTAAGCTCATTTACTTATCTCACTCTCACCCCGATATTGTTATGGTTGTAAGTGTGGTTAGCCAGTTTATGCGTGCTCCTCATGAAATTCACTTGACCGCAACTGTGAAAATTCTGAAGTACTTGAAATCTTCACCTAGAAAGGGTCTTCTTTTTTTTTCAAACATGATCACCTCCGTGTAGAAGCTTATACAGAAGTTAATTGGGCAGGGTCAATAACTGATAGGAGATCTACATCACGATATTGCACCTTTATGGAAGGCAATCTTGTTACATGGAGAAGTAAGAAACAGAATGTGGTGGCTAGAACGAGTGCAGAGGCTGAGTGTAGAGCTATGACTCAAGGTGTGTGTGAACTCTTGGGAATCAAGCTATTGTTGAGTGATTTAGGGATTGGCCAGGCAGAACCCATGCGGCTATATTGTGATAATAAAGCTGCCATCAACATAGCTCACAATTCTGTTCAATGGGACCAAACAAAATATGTTGAGATTGATCGCTACTTCATCAAGGAGAAACTCCTTGACGGTATGATATGTACGCCTTTTGAAGTTCAGCGAACAACTTGCAGACATCCTCACAAAGGGGGTGGGAAGTAAAATATTTCATGATATTCTTGGCAAACTAGGCATGAGAGACATCTACACACCAGCTTGAGGAGGAGTGTTAGAATATTACTACCCCGTTTGGAAGTTGGCTATTTTAGTAGGCTATTTTAGTTTTTGACGATTTTAGTAGGCTAAAATAGTTGTGTTTGGAAAGAGAGTTAGATTTTTTTACAGTTGGATGTAATGTTTGTGAGAGAAAAAGTGAAATGATTATGGGTTTGATGTGACATTTTGTCTCATTTGTTATTTTAGTCTCTTTTGTCTCAATGCTATTTTAGCCCAAAAGGCCAAAAAAACTAGGATTTGGTGGACAAAATATCAGCGGGAATATTATCGCACTGACCATTCCTTTGTTCCACCAAGCTATAAGCAACGATCTCACTAGCAATTCACTCAGTTAACACAAGGAAGCAAGTTTGTAGATGAATACACTCGATTATTCTACAATTTGGCTACAACATCCGAGTTTCCATGGAATGGGGGATGTGATGATTTCCATGTACCGTCATCAGGCACCAAATCAGCAAATCTCTTGTGGATTGGCTGCTAGCGGGCTTTACCATATGGCAGACACTGTCCAAGTGGCACTTAAGATGGAAGAAGAGGGAAAAGAAGAAGGCTCCTCTGCAGCCTCCATCTAGCTTTCAACCATTTCAAGATATTCTACAAGCCACTGAAAGTAACTGAAAATTAAAATGAAAGTTTATACAAGTTGTACCACATCTATCATTTTTAAAATGGTTTTGTAGGTCCCCAGCCATTTAAGTGACTTTGGTTCCTGAATGAAATTCCATGCATCTCCTCCTAAGTATCCTAGGATTCAGATACAAACAGCATTCTGAAACATTGGCAAAATATGAATTTGCAACAGATGCAGCAATGAACACTACGCAGCTCAAAGACATAATTAGAAAAGCATCGTTATCAAAATAGAAAGCGCATCGTACCAAGACCAAAATCCCCAATTTTAATATCATTGCGAGCATCAAAGAAGATATTATTAGGAGTCAAGTCACGATGGATGATTCCCTGTCCATGTATGTTTGCCAGGCCTTCTACAATTTGGCGAAACAAATGCCATGCATTGTCCTTATCGAAATGATTATATGATTCAAACTTCTGCCTCAGTGTCCTGGAAACAAGTGAAAAAACCAAATTAATTAGAAAACATTAAAATAAATGCACAGAGAAATATGAATTACTGCATGAGAAAGTATTTGAACAAAAAGGGGAACAAAGGAAATTAACTTTGGATCATTTTTGTGCCCAAGCATCAAAAGTTAGAAAGTTCATGTCATGGTTATCATTGGGACCTGTAACTGTTTTGTGTGGTTCATTGTAAACCTTTTCTACATGGATTATTAACTGACATTTGTTTATCTTATTCTAGTTGCAACAAACAAGAAAGAAAGCGAAAAAGAAGGGGAGGAATAAAAGCAATTCAAAAGGCAGCTAAAAACAAGCTGTAATCATCCAAAAATTTAGCATTTAGTCTACTACTAGAGCGCATTCACATTAAGAGTTTATCACCCCAAGAATTGTATTAAATTTTCATTAATTCAACTTATGCAGTGAACTCCAAACAGCAAAAGGAGTCTGAAAATTATAGAAGAGAGATGCCAAAGGCCATATACAGAAAGATAGTTCCAAATTAATTTAACATGGAGTAGGAAGACGAGAAAATTTACCTTGGGCAATATTCCATTTGAATATAAAGGTACTTCGATTCAAGCTTATTCTCATTATCTGCAGAACTTGCAGCCTTGTCACTAAAACTGGAGCTCAATGGAGCACTTGAGCCCCATGTGGCATCAGCATAGCAACCAGCAAATCCTGTTTCATACCATGCCTGACATTGTTTACCAAATATTGAATTTGGGTTAGCCCAAACAATAAAAATTTTCAAACAAAAACATGAAAGAAACGCTATATTGAATTTATAGAAATAGAACACGCAGAGAAGAGACAAAACTATTTACAAGTGCATACCTGATAGTAACGCACAACATGCTGATGCTGCAACCGGGAAAGCGTGGCAACCTCTCTAAGTACCTCATAATAGTACATGGGGTAAAAGAAAATAAAAATGATATCCAGAAAAAAAAAATAAAAAAAAAATAGTAAGACATGGAACTAATAACAACAGCTACAGCAACCACCACCACCACCACCACCACAACAACAACAATGAGCACGTATGGCAGACATCAAGAAGTAAAGCAACAAATAGATAAACTCTCGGTAGGGATGTTCAAAAATCAAGCCAACCAGGTCAAACCAACCGAACTGAATCAACCAACACATGAACAGTCAGCTTCATGGAAAGCAGCGATCGGCATCAGGCTAAAACACTTGTAACCCAAGCAACACAAAAAAATATACACTCCACCCACACCGACTGATTATATCCACTTTTAAGATGTAAAATATACTAGCTGTGAAGAGATTCTTCAGCTTACACTCATCATTTTGTACACATGGCATTGTATAATTGAATAGGTAGGATTCACAAATGTCTCTACCTTATCTTTACATCAGCAATATCTTTCTCTATATTGACCATTGACTTCAACTTCTTTCTCCATTGTGTTTTGTAATGATCTCTCTCCTCTCTCTCATATCTCTGAGTCTCATACCACATCTCTCTCTTATTCCCTCTAAACGCCTTTTACTCTCAGATTAGCTATTACTCCCCGACGTCCCCCATCTCAACCACGTTGATTACGAAGATTATTCACCCAAAAACGAAGACGAAGACGAAGACGAAGACGAAGGGAGTTTTGGTCAGAATGATGAGTTTTTTTAAGGGTGAAAATTTTTGACACGACACGATAGCACGACTTAAACCGTACATAGAGTTAGCAAGTCAGGGTTGACCATTTCCGACACGAATGCACATATGACACGACCCAATAACACGAACATCAAACAGGACGGGTTAATGTCGAACCTACATCACACGAAGTTGACATGGATAACCAGTTTAATAAAAAATTAGTTACACATTTTAATATTATTTCTACTATAGATGACATGACATTTTAATCTTTTATGCAACTCCATCCAACTTATTAAAAAGTATATAAAGTACGATTTTAAGCCTAATATACGTTTTATTTTTGTTTTTAATTTAAGATAATATATTTTGTGTGTACTATTTGAGTTAATCAAGTTAAAAGTATAATAATAGGATATAGTTTTTGTAAATTAAGAAAATAAAAGGGACACTTACCAACTATGAAGCACGGATACTTCAAAAAGGGTGACGTATCCGTATCGGATACTTATCGGATACCGATACTCCTCGGATACTCGCGGATACGTTAAGTTTTATTTTTATGCATACTGCATTACTAAAAATTGTTAAAATAATATTTTTTACGAACGTATCCCCGCCGTACCCGTATCCTAGTTTTTCAAATTTTGTCGTATCGCCGTATCGTATCGTATCCGTATCCGTATCCCGTATCCGTATCCGTGCTTCCTAGCTTACCAATTAGTCCTATTAACTAGATTTATTTACCTACAGGTCTTAACTAATAAATTTATCACTGTAAATTTGTTCATAAAAACAAAAGAGACTGATAAATTTATCATTTAACAAATTTATCAATAGGACTTAATGCGTAATAAGCCCCAAAAGCAGGACCTATTGGTAATTTACTCGAAATAAAATTCAGTTGAAATCAAATATTCTTGGGAATAATTTCGTTCAATAGAGATTTTATTAAATTTAACTTGTGAAAAAAAAAATTCATTTTTTTCGTACACTTGATAATTTTAGCTAATTGTGAAATTTTTTGACATGATACGTTAACACAACACGAAATGGTCATGGATCGAAATGTTATGCCCAAGACCCAAAAACAAACACCAATACACACAATAAAGACAACAACATTTGCATAGTTCAGCAACCCAACTACATCCACGTGCAGCGGATTTCACTATATGGAAAGAAATTACAAAGTGTTTCTCACTCACCTCACCCCTCGTTAGCTTACACGTACTTTGATTTCTACTACACTTATATATTCTAAACTTTTGCTTTTGCACTTTGAACCCATCCCATATACTCCCTATTTATACATGCATGGGAAGAAGGCCAAAGTGAGCACCGCCATCAACAAAAAATAAGGACATTAACTATAGCCACTCTAAAAAAATCTAGCTCGGCTGAAAACTGTGTGCAAAATCTCTAGTCACTTTTGTGTCCTTTGTTTTTCTTCATGTGCAGCCATATTTGACTTCCTTGGCTTCATAAATTAGACCAAACAAGCAACAAATCTCCACCTAAGAGATGTTGACTACGTCCAACAATTCTCCATCCAACATAGTGATCGATCAACGCTGCCATGCAACCAAAGTTGCTCAATTCTTAGAGATGTTGACCAAGTCCAAACAATGTTAGAACTTGATCCCAAATAACATTTTAGTGAGCATATCCACAGAATTATATGTCATACTAACTTCTGAAGTAGAATATCCCCTTCATTCACAATTTTTCAAACAAAATGGAAACAGACACCAATGTGCTTGGTGTGGCAATGATGAACTTGGTTCTTTGTTAAACAAATGGCACTTTGACTATCACAGTAGACCTCAACATGCTTTGGACATTTCGGACATTTTTGCCCATAAGCCTCTTATACAATTCTTTCAATTCTCTCAAAATATTAGATCTCTCTCTTTCTACCATCTCACTGTCTGCCACCGCCACTCACCCCATCTATGGTTTGACACCGATCACTAATATCTCTCTCTCACCGGTCCACCATCTCAGATCTACCACCATCTTCACCCCATCCACCATCTCAGATTTCACCAGTGACCTCAGATCTCTCTCTCTCTCTCTCTCTCTCTCTTCCCCCCCGATTCAGTTTTGGTACCTTGTTTGTTTAAAGATCAACTTAAAAATGATTTCTATGTGGTTTGAATGCATGGAAAACCGTTCAATATTTTGGACAATGAAATTTGACTTTGGTTCGAAACAAATTTGAAATCTTAGATTTGAGATCGATGACCATTACTCACTCTCTCTCTCTCTCTCTCTCTATTTATATATATATTTACAAATTTGAAATCTTAGATTTGAGATCGATGACCATTACTCACTCTCTCTCTCTCTCTCTCTCTATTTATATATCTATTTATATCTTGTTTTTTTCATTTTTTTAATACCCTATTTGTTTTAATCTAAACTTAAAGACAACTTCTATGTGATTTGATACATGGATTTTTATTTGTTCGTTGTTTAGACAATAAAACTTTACTCAGTATGACAGTGAAATTTTACTGTATTTTCATATAGAAATTTTAAAAATGACATGTAAATATTTTAAATTGAAGGACAATAATTTCAATTTTCAATGTTAAAAATCTCAAATTGAGGGGTATAAATGTATGTGTCAAACAATAAAACTTTACAGTCTTTTTAAATATAAATCTATAACTGAAATAGTGTGATGATACGAAGAGTTTCCAGAGGTAGTGGCAAGCTGAAGCAAGTTAAGAGATGAGTCATTGGAGAAGAGTCTAAAGAGTTGTAGGGAAATGATTATCATAAATATTCTTCCCAGAAAATGGTTGTCGAAGAGTCATCGGTTGCTCCGGGTGGTCGCCGAAGACTTATCGTTGCTGGAAGTTACCGTCGGTGGGTGGTGGCCTTCAATAGCCCACAGTAGTTGTGATAGTGTGAGGAGGTGGGAGAAGAAGCTAGTGAATTTTACTTGAGGGTATTATTGTCATATTGTCATATTTTAAACTTGGTCTATCAAGAAATTATTTTGACCTATCCTTTACAATAAAGCTAGAGATTGAGGGACTACTCACCAAAAACCCCTTTAAAATATTGATAGGACCCTAAATTTTTGGACTAGCGATGCATAATTTGTCTTCCAACTTGAATTAAACTACTAATCTGCAAGATAAAACTAGATAATAAATTAGTAAAACAAATAAATCAAGAGAAGCACATATTACCACAATTAGAGCATCAAAAGGATAACATATCTTTTTTCTTTCAAGGTAAGTGTATGTTTGATGTTTTGTATAATATGATGGCATATAATTACCGTAGTATGCGGTCATCCACCGGTGGGCTTTTGTCCTTCAAGAGAATCTTCTTAACAGCATATTGCCTTCCATCTAGCTTATTTTTGCACAATACAACATGACCAAATCCACCACGGCCTGCCACAATGAATTGAAGTTACATAGACTACAAGGAAAAATCTAAAAAAGCCAAACTGCCAAGTTTAATCAGCAAAACAAGTTGTTGCTCATATGCTCTAGAGTATAAGTCATAATACATAGGCAAAGCCCCTATTGGCTTCCTTTTCAATCATCTAAGACATTCATGTGGTTCACTAAACAGCACTTAACTAATAAAGAAACCTCTTACTCACCTTGTCTTTTAACTTGGTATAAGCTTTTATTAGAGAGAGTAAATACTAATCAATTCAAATGTAAAATAATTAGAAAGAGAAAGTGGCACACGAAGCCATTGGTTCAGTAGTTAAATCTCAATCGACTAATCTTGAGGTTTTGAGTTCAAATCAAAGCGTAGCCACTTTGTGCAAATTATGCCAAAGATCAAGTTTTTAACAAATTTATCCCCCCAAACCCCTTTCCAATGGGTACTAAATTAGCTTTACTTTTTAGTAAAGTACAATCATAATCGAAAATAATAAAAAAAATGCTGCAGGAAAATATATGTATATATAGTTAAGTTTAACTACCGTAGCAGCCCTTTCTCAAAGCAATTGCTTCCACGGCAATCAAGAAGCTTTTGAAAATGTTCCCTTAACAATGAGAGTAAACTACACCGAAGGTAGAACATTCTAACTCCTTTCTTATTATACATCTTCCAACATTTAGTACTCACAATTAAATTAGGCTTGAGCTCCAAATTTGTTGGTTACAAACAACCACCATAGTTGCCAAATCTTAGTAGCAAGAAACTCCCAGATGGGTGAGATTTCTTACCCTAAAATGCGATTCTGCACTCCTAAAATTAGCCAAAAAGCCAACAACCCATACCAAAAAGTCAAAGATTCTCTTTTCTCTCTACTTTTTGCACATCTTTTCGTAAAAAGTCAAAAAGTCATCCTAAACATACTAGTTTTTTTTAGCTCATATTTTAGCCAAATAGCCAAAAAGTTACTAAATTAGCCTGTTCTCAAACGGGGCCTAAGGCCTCGTTTGGGAACAGGCTATTTTAGTAATTTTTTGGCTTTTTATGAAAAGATGTGTAGAAAAATAGAGAGGTGATGTGACAACTTTTAGTAACTTTTTGGCTTTTTGGCTAAAATAGCCACTCCCCAAACGAGGCCTAAGGCTATTTTAGCCTCAACTTTTGCTTCCCAAACACCCCCTATATAGAATGGCTCAGCTGACAGCCCATTATTTCTCTTCCAAGACCCTTTTGGCCTCCCCAACGAAGGGAATTTCAAATAAAAGTACCCATTTAGGTCCCCTCCACTCTAATCCTTGGATAACCCAAATTTTGATTCACTCATTTATGTAATTGTCATCCTTGTTGACACCCGATATTTCATAACCCCCATACTACCTATCTAAGAATAGCACAAAAAGCTGGAAATCAACACCTAAGTCAACATCCTCCAAGACTGTACCCTACTCAAGTCTACCAACACCCTCCAAAAAATAAAAAAGGCATACGATCCAGCATCCCAGAAGCATGAATTGCTGACATTACTTCCGACTCCATCCGACCTTATGGATCAACACATAATTCATACTCCAACCCCTTCAATTTTGAGAAATTCGAATCTTCCAAATGTCTCCCTTCCACAAGTAAGGCCTTCACTACAAACCTCCTCTAAAACAAAGCCTACAAGGCTACAATGCAGTTTACTACAAAAGTTGTCACAAAGAAACACTAATCTTCTCAGAGCTACGTTACACGGACTAGTCACTTTTGGCGAAGTACCGTCTCGATACAACACGACATGGGTACGAGTATAGATCTGAGGATATGGATCTGAGAGGGAAAAAAAAAGAACATGATTTTTTTTGAAATTAGATATGGGATAGAGGAAGAAGAGGAAGAAGAAGAAGAGAAGGTAGTAGTAGTAGTAGTAGTAGAAGAAGAAGAAGAAGAAAGGTGCATACCTTTCAAAAGAGGATGAAGCAAACAAACGAAGAGAGAAGAGAAAGTTGAAGCAGTCGAAGGACTAGACGAAGAGAGCAGTCGAAGGACTCAAGCCAGTCTTCAAAGAGAGAGAGAAACGTCACAACTGCCCCATTTATTTGTTGTGTTTATCTTTCTTTTCTTTATATATATATATATTTTTTTTTTGACCTAGCTTTAGGGTGATGGGCTTCAGTTAAAATGTTCAATGGGCTTCATTGGGCCTATAGTTGGTCTTAGTTTATAGATTCCAAAAATATTGGATACTAATTATATTACAATCAAAGCCCATTAAAAAAAGGCATATTATATAAAAATGTAAAAATAAATAAAATAAATAACTTTAATATATTTGAATAAAGCCCAAAAAAATATATGTTATATATTTCAATTATAAATAAATAAAATAAAGAACTTTCATTATTGGAGTGATGTTTAGTGGGATGCCAATTCAAGTATGGGTGATCAGTGGCTGTAGTGTGGTGAAGAGAAATTATTGGGTGTGTTACTTTTGGTTTGAGAAGAAATTATAATAGAACCACCATGTCATCAGAAAAATACATAATATTTTTTTGATACATCCATGTTTAGCCGTATCTGTGTACCTGTGTCTAATTTTTGGATATTTTTTAGACGGACCCGTGTATCCCTCATTTAGAGGTTTGCCAAGTCCAATCTCTAGATACATACCCGTACCTAACACTCCTAACCAAGTCCATGTAACGTCGTCTCAGAGTCCATTTTCTCCTTTCTACCAATTTGTAGTGAGAGGCCAAAAGAAAGAATCAAAAAATAATAAGGTTTCTAACTAACTAGGAAATTAACTACTACTATTGTGGTTATCTTAGCTAAAAGTTTGATTCAATGGAGTGCTATTATACTCGTTAATCCTCACACACCCTAAACTTTATAAACTAAATAAAACTAAACTAATTCTAACCAAGAACAAGACTAACAAAATCCAAAACTAAATAGAGAATCCAAAACCAAATGGAGATACACTACACAGTACGCCATTAAACTTTGTACAATTACAAATACTTCCAATAATAATAAAATATTCAACTGAAATCTTGAAATTTGTTTTTCCACTTTTTCCTCAAAACACATACTACTGGAAATAGTTATAAAATGGCTGCCAAAATTCGTAAATGTCATGGTATTGATGTCCGAACCTTGAAACACTCTTCTTTTGTTGCTTTTCAACCAACAAAGGTTGTATGTTATGAAAAGGCAAGAATTTCTCGTTGAGCTGCTTCTTTATTTTCTCCCAATCTCTATTCTTTACTTTGCCACTTCTTTCCCCACAAATTTGCACTTCTTTCCACCAAATCAGAGGCTTGACCTTTTGAGGTTTTGAGGCATCAACTTCACTTTCCTTCCCTCCAGCACATCATAATACTCCAAAAGACTAGTAGTGTTCAACCATTTCACAAACACATCCAGAATATAGCTCACATGGAATTCGAAAGCTCATCGTCCTTCATGTATGCTCTACATCAATGTGGAGCACAAGTAAACTATTAAATTGAATTTGATGATCCTTGGAACCATCACTACCGTTGGTTAGAAGTTACAAACATTGCACTCTTCCAATCAAGGTAGTGATTTGTTTACTCCAGTGTTGTAAAAGGCACGCCTAGGCAAAAGGCACAGCTTCTGCAACTTGTACAAGCCCAGGCGCAGCGCATTCAAAGAAGTGCAGCAAGGAACGCGCATCATGCACTTAAGGCACAAGAAAAGCATGCTTTATTCATTTTTTTGTCTTTTGGCTTTTGTTAACCATTGATTTTACTTTCTTTCTTTCTTTTTTCATTTTTTGTCTATGACGCAAATTTGTGTGCTATCATAGTAGATTAAAGTTCTCAAATATAATTACGTGCCGCCACACTGGATTAAAACACTCTAAATATATATACATATATATATCATTGATACATCAAATAGAGAAAAACCCTAACAGAAAAGTCCTAAAGTCGACTTCTTCTCCGGTGGCAACTTCTTCTCCAGATTCTGTAGTATGTTTTCCTTTTCTTCTTGTCTTCCTCTTTTTCTTCTTTTTCTTCTCCTCTTTTTTTTTCTTCTTGTCCTCTTTTTTCATCTTTCAAGTTGCTGGGTCTGATTTTTCTTTCCCCTGTTTCTTTGTTTCTCCTTCCAAGTCAGTGCTTATGTTTATTTTTCTCCTCCTTACAGCTTCACTTTACTTCTCTTCCTCTCCTCTTCTTTTGTTTCTTCTTCTTCTTCCAGCTCATTGTTTCAGATTTTTTTTTTTTTTTTGTTAGGCCATTTTTTTTGTTCATTTTCTTTTCTTCTGCTTCCAGGTTCCAGTTTTCTTCTCTTCTCCTTCATCTTCTCTGATTTTCTACTCTGTTTTGCTGGTTTCTCCTTCCTTCTTCTGGTTTGCTGCTGTCTTGCAAAGATGTTCGAAAGATAAAGTTTTGATTAATGCCTCATTCACACTGTTATGAGCATTGTTTTATATACTCACTGGTATCCACTGGTGCTTTTGAATAGTTTTTTTTTTTTTTTTTGTGCTCTTACGTGTGTTGAATGTTGGTTATTTTGTATTTGGAATGATATGTACTTTTATGGTTTTGAAAAATTCTTCTACAATTTGCTCTAGCTCTCTAGCTCTTTAATTTTTTATTTTTAAATTCTGTCTTAGTGGTTATAAGCTTTGAATTATTTATTTTGCTTATGTTGATGTCTAAATTTATTAGTCTAGGTTAATTTATCTATTTTTTACTAAAACGGTGTGCCTCGCTTCAATGAAGTGTGCCCCTCACCTTACACTTTGCGCCTAAGCCCCAAGAGACCTTTGACGCCTTGGTGAGCCTTGAGCCTTTAAAAACACTGGTTCACTCAACTGTTCAATCTAATTCCTTTGAGTTTGATTGCCATTGTTCTTCCCAATTTGATGATTCATTTCTTCTTCTTCAGCAAAAGCCCTACCGCTTCCTCCTTCACCGCGTTCAGCCCAATGTTTTTAAAGGCGTTCTTGGGGCACACCAAAACGCACCTGTGCATTGATTTTTAGGCAAAGCACCAGCTATGCGTAAGCCTCAACCTCAGAGGCGTTCGCATCAAACACAATTTTTGCGCTTTTCACGCATTTACAGTGAGGCCATGAGGCATACAACTTTGAATGAGAAGGTATAAATACCATAGATGCAGAGCTGCAAACGATTGATCTTCTTCATCCAAACAACTTCGGCTCAACTTCAGGTCTTTTTCAGCAACAAATTAGGGCTTTTAATGTTTGATCTATGCGCCGTCATTCTCTCTCTCCCTCGTTTTCTCTCTCGATCACACTCTCTCTCTCCTATCGTTTTCTTTCTCGCTCTCAATCTGGCTCTCTCTCTCTCTCTCTCTCTCACAATCATTCCATCTCTTTTCTATATTGGGCCTGTTTGGGAAGCACAAAATAAGGCTATTATAGCCTATTTTGACAAAGTAGCCCAAAAGCAACACTATTGCAACCTTTTTCAAAAAAAAAAAAAAAAAAATTCTGCACAGCCGGCAGTGTAGGCTGTGCCTACACTGTCAGCTACAACCTTTGTCCCATCAATAAGTAAATTACCATTTTACCCCTTGATATCAATTTAAAAAAATATATTTTTAGGGATAAATTTGTCATTTTAAATTTAAACATCATTTCAACACACTTTTCAATACAATAACTCAACTAAAAAATCATCTCATCTTCCCAAACACAAAAACTAAAATAGCCACTAAAATAGCCAAAAAGCCAAATAGCCTACTAAAATAGCCACTTCCCAAACGAGGCCTTAAATACAAAAAAAGCCAAAAAGCCACACTAATCCATTGATTTAAAAAAAAATAAAAATAAAATAAATTTATAGCCCAGCCTACACTGTCAACGTGACAGTGTAGGGGACAAGTAATGATAGTCCCATCTTTTAGAAGTAAATGACAATTTTGCCCCTTTAAACCTATTTTGAAAAAATAAAGTTAGGGACAAATTTGTCATTTCAACTTCAAACATCATTTCAAACACATTTTTTAATACACAACTCAAATAAAAATCCATCTTATCTTCCCAAACATAAAAATTAAAATAACCTACTAAAATAGCCAAAAAGCCAAAAAGCCTCTAAAATAGCCACTTTCCAAACACCCACATAGACTCCTAGGGGTTTGCTAGAGGATGTTACAAACTAGGGTTAGGATCTAATAATACTTTTTGGATGAGAGTGCTACGTCTTCCATTGAACTTGGTGTGCTAAAGGAGGGGTGTTTGGTGGAAATTATTTTAAGCTAAAAGTTGATAATAAAAAAGCAGAAGCTAAAAGCACCTCTCCCCTAGCTTTTGGAAAATCATCGTTTTTCAGCTTATTTAAGCTATTTCTGCTTAATAAGCTATTAACAGAAGTTGCACCAAACAGTTTGACAAAGACTCCCAAATTAAAATAAGCTATAATAATCACCTCTTAGAATCTGTAACAAACAGCCCCAAAGTATTTTGGACCATTAATGATAGGTTTGTCAGGCTTGAGGGTTTAGGACAGTTGCAATTATTGGCATGGACTTTGAGATAATAAGCCTATGGTCTTGGTGGTTTGCTTGGTTGAAGCAGATGGGTGCCATTTTCCACCGTCAACTAGAGTTAACAAAATATTTGGCACTTAGTAGCACAAAGCGGGGGTGGGGGAGGTGGAGGGGGAGCAGAAGCGAGGGCATATAGAAGTATCTAAAATTGGGAGCACTATGGGAGAGTGTATATATTTTATATATTAAACATGTAAATATATTCTAACAATTTTTTTTTTCCATCGTAGTTGTAATATATGCATTAAAATATGACTTATTATTTGAAATTGATGTAAACTACAAAGTATCTTTTTAAAGTATAAATAAATACTATGTAAATAGGAAGTACTAGAATGAATTTGACTTTTTCTCTTTGGTTTCTTTGAGATTTGTATATTTGAGAGGTTTTATCTCAGTTGGAGCAAGTTTCTTCCTTCACGAGAGTGAGTTTCTTATAGGTTCTTACTTAGGCCTCGTTTGGAGAGTGGCTATTTTAGCCAAAAAGCCAAAAAGTTACTAAAAGTTGTCACATCACCTCTCTATTAGGTTCTTACTTGATTGAATGACTTTTGGGTTGGACTCTATTATTTATTGTAAAAAAAATCTTCTCCTTTTTTTTTTTTTAAAGTGTTGTGGTTGAATGACTGATGGTTGGACTCTTGTATTATTGCATAATAAATTCTTCTTTTTTTGTTCTCTTTTTCTTTTTAAGAGTATTATGGCTCAATGATTTTTAGTCGGACTCTTTGTATTTATTGCAAAATAATTGTTTTATATTTTTAAGAGTGTCATTTTCTTGCTTATTGGTTAATATATTAATTCAATTATTTTTAGGCATAAATGGTCTTTATGAATTTATTTCCTATTTCTTATTTTTATACTCTTTTATGCTATATTTATTTTATTTTATATTTTATAAAAATAAAAATAAAAATTCAAAAGGCTTACACCTTGTCTCATCAAGGATAAAATTCGCCTTGAGTTTTCGGCTTTAAAACATTGGTTCAGCCATAGCTAACAACAATTACAGTCATGAATTCAGCTATCTAGAGATAATACACAGCCAAGTAACAAATTTTCGATGTGTCAAAACAACCTAATCTGGAATGCTTTGAAGCTCCAAATTAGATTGCAAGTGATATTCAAATTGAATCTAGGAGATCGAAGATGGACTTGCAGAGTAATTTTAAGAGATCACAACTTGATCAGACTAGAAACTCAACTGCACATAGCCTGTAACTCGAATCAGAAACCATTCCAATTGAATTCTAGTATTCCGAAGGAAGCCAAACCAATCTCCAGCATTTGAAAGTAATTGTTAACTGATTCAAAACAATTGATCAACAAATTGAAGCTTCAGAAAACTCAAAATTGAGTCTGCAATGATTTTGGAACCGAGTCAAATATCAATATTGACAATCAAACCAGAAAGGGAAGCCCAAGTTGAAGCAGACTAAGAACAAACTCTAACAATCAAAAGCAGCAACAATAGATTCTGAGTCACGACAACAATGCAAGGACTAAATCAAAGCTTCGAATTAGAAACACAGTAGTCTGCAAGGCTTCAAGGCTTTTACAGCAACACTAGTGAATCAAATCACGGCACCACAGATAATTCCAAATGCGATCTAGGGATGGCAAGCACAGATTCTAATGCGATCGAGGCTAACGACCATCACAAGACATGTTGAAGTGGTTAGCAAGCAATTTCTCAACTTGATTCCAAGGTCGACGTGCGTAGGGGTCCTTGTCAAAGCATGACTATAAATCAGCCCGAAATCGAAATCTGTTGTTATTGGATATCAAAGTCACGATCTGATCTGTCAACTGAATTCCAAAGTCGCAACAAAGCTTGGATCCATGTGGGAGTCGCACAAGTTCCGAACTCAAGCTCAAATGTTACTCCAGTTCAAATCACTAGATGCAAACACAGTGACTTCCAAGGTACGAACTACTTTGCTGATTTCACGATCAGTTCACACATTCAGAATTAAATCTTGCAGCCTAGGGTTTGAATCTGTCCTGCGATTGAACACACATGGTCCATGCCATCACCAATTCCACTCCAACTGATAGAATCGAGGCACAGTAGAGAGAAGTAGGTACAGAATCTAGGTCTCTGATACCAAATGGACCTAAGATGTAAACCGAGAATGAATAAAAAAACAACGCCCAAAGAGTATGCATTAATGTGTGTTTGGGAGGGAAAAGATTGGGTACACACCTAACCTTTGGCATAACGCACAAAGTGGTTGTCCTAAGACTTGAACCCATAACCTCAAGGTTATTAGGCCAAGGTTTTACCATTAACCGAGAATGAATCTAGAAAGAAAATTCCCAATGGGAAATACAAGAGCAAAGCTCTGAAAATACAACCTCAAATGATCCAAAGTTCCCTTATTAGGCGCCCAAACACCTATTTATAGGCATAGGACAGACCACACACACAACCATCACGTATTAGCTAACTAATATTACAAAATGAACTACATCAAAAGTCTTAATAGTAATTAAAAATATAGAGATGAGTTGCTTTCTTTAATACAAACAAAGTTTTCAACCACGGTAATAATCTTTTGCTCCCATCTCAGGTAACAAAAAAGAGACAACTATCAGCTTAATATGGAGTGCAAGGGTAAAAAGAGAGGGACCAAGTGAATAGTCTTGAGTCATCAATGTAAATACAATTGAATTGCAATTAGGCATATGCGAAACAATCAAGGTTATAAGTACTCCAGGAAATTTCAAATGCATCAAAAGAAATATTGAAGGTAAACCTAATCCAATAAAAACCACAACACCAGCCTAAGACAAACTGTAAGAAACTAATTACACTGCCTTCTATATTTTTCAAGAAACAAAGGTCTACAGAGAAAAAGATACAAAGTAAACTACAGAGATCAAATCCACTAACCAAGGGACTGGAGCTCCTCAAAGTCGTTGAGATAGCGAGAAGTTGGAATAGATGAAGTATTCTGGCCTCCATAATCAGAAGTAAATTTCCAGAACAGAGAGATTTTGGATGAAATCTATTAAAGAGAATTGGTTAAAGATAGCATTGTCAAATAAAAGATGAGGCCAAATTCTAGATGATCAAAAAATATCGGGAAAAAAAGTGACCAACCATTTGCCGTTTGAAAACATGATCAAAAGTTTGGTCAAAGAGTGAAGATGGTTTAGTAGCTAAATCCTGCACCCGTTTGGAAATGATCTGAAACAAATCACCATTAAGTAGTGTAGACTTTTAGCATGCTAAAGTAAACAGAAATATGAGCTAATTTAAACAGAAAAGCATTAATTACATACTCCCATATTGTATAGCTCAGTTGTTATTTCTGGCAAAGCATCAGCTATTTGTCCCTTGGAAGAGCAAGCAAGGCGAAGGAGGTGAGCCTAAAGGAAGCAAAGCCGCGTTTAGAATGGGAAAATAAAAATAAATAAATAATAGTGAGAAAAATTACCATAATCAAATCTCTCTCCTTAGTGTGAGATAACTGATCAGTAATCATAGAACCAGAAGATACAGATTCTGAAGGCTCGCTATCTGAATCACCATCATCAGTTTCTTCATAATGCTTTACAAAAAAATCCTGCAAAATCTTGTGAATGATCAATAGATGGTATAGAAAACATCCATTTTCCAGAAGTCAGAAACTAACCAACTAGATTGTGCAACAACATGACCACTAAATAACTTGAATATTTTAGGGTTGGCTCCATTTACCAGCCTTCAAAGCAAACGATCAATTTTTGTTAGTTTTTAAGTATGATCCAATACATTTCATATTTTTAAATCACCATTAAAGGAGCTTTTTACATTTTATTGCAATAGTTAATGACTTTAAGAATAATTTATTATAAATGTCTACAAAATTATTTTTGACCAATACCTGAACTAACTAAATAAAAATATTTACAATTATTAAATGAAATGATTATAAAAACAAAAATTGTGCCGTAAAAAAAATTTATTTTTGAGCTAATGATTTTTTATTTTAAAAGACATTTTTTTAAACAACACTTTACAACTAACTAAATAAAATTATTTACAATTAAGTATTCAATGAAATAATTATAAAAATAAAATTGTGCCATAAGCAAAAATTATTTTTGAGCAACTGATTTTTTTTTTAAATACATTTTTTTGACAATCTATTACAGTAACAAAATAAAAAATATTTACAGTTAAATATTATATGAAATTATTATAAAAATAAATACAACCACGGTTTATATATTTTTAACTAAATAAAATTATTTACGATTAAGTATTCAATGAAATAATTATAAAAATAAAATTGTGCCATAAGCAAAAATTATTTTTGAGCAACTGATTTTTTTTTTAAATACATTTTTTTGACAATCTATTACAGTAACAAAATAAAAAATATTTATAGTTAAATATTATATGAAATTATTATATAATAAATACAACCACGGTTTATATATTTTTTATTTTACATGTTAATGTAATGAAATAAAAATTAAAAAATAAATTATAAAGACAAAAAAAAAGCATGCAAAGTTTTTTCTTTGGGTTTGGATCACTTGAGGATTCGTTCTTTTTTTGTAAACTTTTTTTTTTCTTTTGAAAGAAAGCTATTTAGAATATTGTAAAGGTGCGTTACGGCTGTTACGTAACACCGAAATAGCCGTTACGCATATGAATTTTAGTCACACCGCAAAAGCAGGTGTAACGGGTTGTGCCTACCACCGCAACCGCTACATAGCACTGCTTTTTAAAACCTTGCCTTTAGCTTAAAATAGTATTTTTCCCTTTTTTTATCAACAACAGTAAAATATTATGAAAAAAGTGGCAAAAGTACAAGGTGCAATAAGAAGAACGAGATCCACCAAGAGAAGAAAAGAGGAATAAAAGGAAACAAAAGTGCACATGGAATGGAGCCTTCCAATACCTATAAATCAAAACCAAAGGCTTACGACACAGCACAACAAGGACACGTCAACACGGTAATTTCCAAAAAAGTAGGATATGGACACAATTCTGATACGACACAAATAATTAAATCTTCATATTATATTATCTAGGAATAATTAATATTTACATAATTAAATAATCACTTTATACGAAGTAAATCTTGTATCTAGGGATTGTTTGGGATGTCCTAAATAAGTGCAATTTTTGACTTTTTAGACTAAAAAGTTGAGGGGAAAAGGAGAGTTATTTGGGATAAATTTTTATCTTTTATGAAAAGATGTGTAATATAATATTATTACAAATGGTAAAATGACTGTTTTACACTTCCCAACTGACAACGCAGCAGGAAGACTGTTACGCGTTGTTGGGTACCGTGCCTGTCAATGAGTGTTCCACCTAATTGGGGAATTCAATCACTGTTCAACGGTAATATTTGTTCTATAACAATATTTTTTATTTTTTATTCATTTCCCAATTCGAAACACTGTGCAACGGCTATGCATAATGCTTGGACATTATTTATTTTATTTTTTTTCTTTTCCTTTTCTATTCATTATTTTTTGTTTTCATTCTTTTCCTTTTAACATTATTTTTTTTTTATTCTTTTCCTTGTACTCATTTTTTTTATTCTTTTCCTTTTAACATTTTTGTTTTTATTATTTTCCTTTTTGAAGTAACTTTTTTTTTCTTTTCCTTTTAACATTATTATTTTTTTTATTCTTTTCCTTTTTTATTCATTTATTTTTGTTTTCATTCTTTTCCTTTTAACATTATTTTTTTATTATTATTTTCCTTTTTTAGTCATTATTTTTTTTGTTATTCTTTTCCTTTTTTATTCTTTTCTTTTAACATTATTATTTTTTTAATTCTTTTCCTTTTAACATTATTATTTTTTTATTCTTTTCCTTTTAACATTTTAATTGTTTTCATTTTTTTATTCATTTTTTTTTTTTTCATTCTTTTTCTTTTGACATTTTTGTTTTATTCTTTTCCTTTTTTAGTCATTATTTTTTTTTATTGTTATCCTTTGTTATTCTTTTCCTTTTAACATTTTTATTTTTTTTCTTCTCCTTTTAACATTATTATTTTTTTTTATTCTTTTCCTTTTAACAATATTTTTTTTATTGTTTTCCTTTTTTGATCATTGTTTTTTTATTCTTTTCCTCTTTTGTTCAATTTTTTTTTCAGATTGTTTTCCTTTTTTATTCTTTTCCTTTTAACAATTTTTTTTAATTATTTTCCTTTTTTTGTATTGTTTTCTTTTTAACAAATCTTTTTTTTCTTTTGGTTTTCCTTTTTTTTCAGCTGGTCATGCACAGTACTGTTGTAAGTTGTTAAACAATTTTTTTTAATAAAATTCTTGTCCTTCTCTTTTGAACATTGTTTTTGGGTCATATGAACATAAAAATGGATAGGAAAGTATATAAAGTTCCTAAATTCAAACAAGCTAAACAAATTATTGCGTATGTGTTCTTTCAAATTTCTTTGAGACTGATTTTTGTTTATAAAAGGTGCATCTAAAATCTTTCTTCAAAAAGAATCACAAAATTATTGGACATACGTCCTTCATGTATTTTATATGTTAATGATTGGACATACTTCCTGTTAAAATAAAATTCGTTCACAATGTAATTTACCGAAGACATCATAATATTAAAACCAAACGTTTTTTAAGAAGATATGATAATATAAATTTGAATCTGAGTTACACACATTACAAATTTAACCAACATTAATGTTTCAAATATTCGTGTTCAGTTGGCATCTGAGTTGGGTATGTAATGTTCGCTCGTACAGTAGCCATTGCGGGGTCGGAGTCCCCTTTCTCAATCACATCGGCAACCCGTGTGTATTCGGCGTGGTCGGGCATTTCCGGGGCCACATATTCGGTGCTGTCTAGGATAGCCAGCGTGACCTCATGAATTTGACTATGTCAACGTATGAAGTTATGTAACGCCATCGACGCACATACAAAGGTCACTTGATTAGAGAAACTCAACTTCTGAATATTCCGCAATGCCCCCCACCTCGACTTCCACGCACCAAATGTCCGCTCGATACAACTACGCAATGACGAATGTGCCTTATTAAACAGTTCGAACTCATTCTATAGTGTTCGATTCCGATGGGCATTTTGGTGATACCTATACCCCTTGTATGGGGCTAGGTAGGGGACTCCGACCACGACAAATACACACGGGTTGCCGATGTGATTGAGGAAGGGGACTCCGACCCCGCAATGGCTACTGTACGAGTGAACATTACGTACCAACTCAAACGCCAACTGAACACGAATATTTGAAACATTAATGTTCGTTAAATTTATAATGTGTGTAACTGAGATTCAAATTTATATTATCATATCTTCTTAAAAAACGTTTGGTTTTAATATTCTGATGTCTTCAGTAAATTACATTGTGAACAAATTTTATTTTAACAGGAAGTATGTCCAATCATTAACATATAAAATACATGGACGTATGTCCAATAATTTTGTGATTCTTTTTGGAAAAAAAAATTAGATGCACCTTCTATAAACAAAAATCAGTCTCGAAGAAATTTGAAAAAACACATAAGAAAAAAATTACGCAATAATTTGTTTAGCTTATCTGAATTTTTAATACTTCTCAGCAGGAACTTTATATACTTTCCTATCCATTTTTATGTTCATATGACCCAAAAACAATGTTCAAAAGAAAAGGAAAAGAATTTTATTAAAAAAAATTGTTTAACAACTTACAATAGTACTGTGCATGACCAGCTGAAAAAAAAGGAAAACCAAAAGAAAAAAAAAAGATTTGTTAAAAAGAAAACTATACAAAAAAAGGAAAATAATTAAAAAAAATTGTTAAAAGGAAAAGAATAAAAAAGGAAAACAATCTGAAAAAAAATTGAACAAAAAAGGAAAAGAATAAAAAAACAATGATCAAAAAAGGAAAACAATAAAAAAAAATAATGTTAAAAGGAAAAGAACAAAAAAAATAATAATGTTAAAAGGAAAAGAAAAAAAATAAAAATGTTAAAAGGAAAAGAATAACAACGGAAAACAATAAAAAAAAATAATGACTAAAAAAGGAAAAGAATAAAACAAAAATGTCAAAAGAAAAAGAATGAAAACAAAAATAATAAATAAAAAAACGAAAACAATAAAAATGTTAAAAGGAAAAGAATAAAAACATAATAATGTTAAAAGGAAAAGAATTAAAAAAATAATAACATTAAAAGGAAAAGAATAAAAAAGGAAAAGAATAACAAAAAAAAATAATGACTAAAAAAGGAAAATAATAAAAAAAAGAATGTTAAAAGGAAAAGAATGAAAACAAAAATAAATGAAGAAAAAAGGAAAAGAATAAAAAAAATTATAATGTTAAAAGGAAAAGAAAAAAAAAATTATTTCAAAAAGGAAAATAATAAAAACAAAAATATTAAAAGGAAAAGAATAAAAAAATGAGTAAAAGGAAAAGAATAGAAAAAAATAATGTTAAAAGGAAAAGAATGAAAACAAAAAATAATGAATAGAAAAGGAAAAGAAAAAAAATAAATAAATAATAATATCCAAGCACTGTGCATAACCGTTGCACAATGTTTCGAATTAAGAAATGAATAAAAAATCAAAAATACTGTTATAGAACAAATATTACCGTTGAACAGTGTTTGAATTCTCCAATTAGGTGGACCACTCATTGACAGGCACGGTACCCAACAACGCGTCACAAGTCTTCCTACTGCGTTGTCAATTGGGAAGGGTAAAACAATCATTTTACCATTTGTGATAATAATATATTACACATCTTTTCATAAAAAAACAAAAATTTATCCCAAACAATTATCTTTTTCCCCTCAACTTTTTAGTCTAAAAAGTCAAAAAGTATACTTATTTAGAACACCCCAAACAACCCCCTAATTATCTTACATGAATTTTTTACTATAACAAACATATATAATTGTGACATTTGCCTCATCCTTAACCATCTACAAATACATTTACGTAACTTTTTTAACCCCAAGGCGTTGGCCTAGTGGTGCCAAGGCCTTGGGTCTTGGGGGTGTGCTCCCTCCAAGATTCAGGGATCGAAACCTCTTAGTGCTAACAATTCCTTGGGACCATCAAACTGAGGGAAAACCCTTGAATTAACCGTGGTGCACTTGCGGAAAACTCCTTGCCGAGAGCCTGTGCACTCCTGGATTAGTCAAACTTTGATCCAGACATCCCGTGCCAATCAAAAATAAATAAATAAATTTACCTAACTTTTTTGTTTTTCATTTAATTTTATGTGAACTTCTATAGGGTTATTCTTAATAATTATACATTTTTTAAAGATAATTATACATTTTGTTTTTCATTTAATATAAGTTCACTTGGATAGTATAGTCTATAGACAACAATTTACTTATTAATTCATAAGCATTCAAAACTCAAGCTTGAACAAAAGAAAGTTCAACATTACCTTTGCCTCATCAATGGTAGCATTTCCAACCGATTCCCCTGATAGCGATCTACTCAAATCACTAGCAGATAAGTTCTTACAATCATCTTCACCCTCTTCATCAAAAGTATCCAATTTTACAGAGGAAGCGCGTAAAGAAATTTGTTTCGTCTCCTGAATCACAGATGGCTTCACATTCTGGTCAATTTTCTTCTCTAGCGCCTTGTATCCATGTTTAGATCGATCTAGTTTATGGGAATGTACTGAAGAATTTATCCCATGGTTCTCCTCCATTTCAAGACCCCAATGCCATGACTCACCAGAGCCACTGAAAAGATCTATGAAACCGTAAACAAAAGGTCCCCTCGGAGAACAAGTCTTGTTACATGAAACTGTTGCATCCTTCACAGAAAATCGACTGCTATTATTTGTTTCCTGGCATGTAACCTTCCAAAAAGAAATGACAACAGATCATTGATCATTTACTTATCCACTAACAAGCAGAAAGGAAATTTTTGTATTCCTTGAGAGGAAAATAACAAACTTAAGATTTCTACACACTTGGCATGTGAAACAATCAAAACTAAAATGACATGTACTCAAGAAAAGCCCTAGAAACATCAAGAACAAAATGACAAATAAGCCATAATAAAATCACTAGCAGGCAGATAGATGCACTAGTACCGATTCGTTACAAAAACAATGTTATTTTTCATATAATCACATACAACCAATTCAGATCAGTATTTTTTTGGCACACACTAACATTTTACCATCCAATACCATCTTTGTGTTCTCTAGTGTTTTTTATTTTACAGCGCCAAACTTGTTCAATTACTATTAGCCTTAGAAATACACATTGACGAATTTTAGTTCATGATCCCCAATGTTTCTTTATGTTTCTAAATTCTCTTTGTTTCCATTACGTATCCATTTCCAAGCAAACCAAAATAAAATTGAAACAAAACTTTGATCCTTGTATATCTTATATTAATGGATTATTGAAACACCAATCTGATGGTTGTAGAGCTTACAGATTCATGTTGCCGTCCCACTGGAACAATTTCAGACAAGAACTCTTGAGCAGCCTCCACCAAATTGTAAATCATAACACGTCCTTCACGAGCATTAGAATTAGCCTGGAACATTTATTAGTAAATCAAAAAAAAGAAAGGGAAAAAGAAAGAAGAAGAAGCAAGGTTTGAAGTATGCATGCATAGCATAACAATTATTAAAATTATGCTCAAAACAACAAAAGAAGTGCTCCAAGCAACTTGTGTACGAAAAGTCTATAATTAAACAAAAATACTAATAAAATGTGTGCTCCAAGTGTTGCACTTTTTGCTCATAAGATGATTTGGAATGATGCATGTAGGCCTCTTAAAGCAACAATCTTTGCATGGTTCATGGCCTATGAAGTACCAATACTTCAAAACAAGTGTCGTATCCGTGTTGGACACAAGGACACTTCAGGGACACGTATGGGACACACCACATGGCGTATCCCCTTAATTAATTTATTTTTAGGAAGTACGCTGGGGACACTTGGGAGACATACTAAGGACATGTCAAGTTGTCTTTTTTCCCATTTTATTTAATGTTTTGGATGAATGTTGAATGTTCAATCTTGAATGTTTATTATTTTTTTTCTTAGATTTAAATGCTTAATAGATCATCCATAAAAAAATATATAAACTGTAAGTGTTAATTTAAAAGTGTTTTTTTTAATTTTTAAAAAAAATAGAATTATAGTTAGTTTTTTTAATATTGATTGTTTGTGGATGTAATATTAAATAGCAAATAAAAATATATAAAAACATATTTTATTGTCGTGTCCCCTCTGTGTCCATGTCTCTATTTTTTTGAAATCATCGTGTCCGTGTCCGTGTCCGTGTCCGTGTTCGTGTCCGTGTTCGCATCCGTATCCGTATCCGTATCCGTGCTTCTTAGTGGCTCATTTGAAGCTCAATACTAAAAACATATTTCAGAAAAGGAGATCCAATTACTATGAACTTCCACAATGGTGCATAATTGTGGATTATGCGTAAGAAGTATGAGGAGAGCATTGATCATCTATTTTTACATTGCCTTGTAATTATGGAATTATGGCATTGTTTGTTTCAAATGAAAAAAGTTGATTCGGTTGTTTAAGTTTCTTATGTACAAATACTCGTCATTGGAGGTTTTGGCACAAATGAGAAGCCCAAGTTCTTTGGAGTTGTGTTGTATGTGCAGTGCTTTGAGTTATTTGGTTGGAGAGGAACACAAAATATTTGAAGATAAATTTCATGATGTTGAAGGATTATGGTATAGAAGTTGTTATTTGTCATCTTTTTGGGCTTCAATTTCATCCCCTTTTAAAGGATTCCTTTGTTTTTTCGTTTCTAGGGATTTGAGAGCTATATGTGAATTGTAATTTTATTTTTCTTTTATTCTCTCTTTGAAGGATCGCTTTCCCTCCTCGATCATCTTGGCATTTTTCTTTTTTTCTAATTTTTAATAATATTCTCGTTGCCAATTAAATATTTTTTTAAAAAAGGCTGTGTAAAGACGGCAAGATTGGGATGTTACCGATGGACCTTCTAGAACAGCATTTCAGTTTCATACTTGAGAATACAAAAAAATAGAAAGTTGGGCTCTCAGCTTGTACCCCACAGATTCAGTACGGCTTTCTCCAATTTGTTTAAGAGTTGCATTTTATAGGTAGCTGTCAACTAAAGATGAAATCATGGATAGTTTGACATCCAACACAGGAAAAGTCCCAAACAATTCCTGATTAATTGTTCATTTTCGCCACCTCATGGAAGAGAATATTTACCAGCTTATTACAGCAGAATATGAAAACAGAATTAAAAACCAGATTGAGAGACCAAATAATAGCTGGATAGGGATAAATGTTAAAACAAGATCCAAAGCCTTTTGTTTTTTTTTTTTTATCCAAAGCCATATATTTAGGACAAGGTTTTGAAGAGTTGAACCAAGTAGAGCTGGTTTCTTAATTGCGAATGTTGGAGAACATCCACAGCATGGTAATAAAATACTTACTATTGTCACACATTTAATCGTGTTAATGAATAAACAGTCACTCGTACCTGGTAATTTAGCAAAGATAGAAGGTTATCAGCATCAGCTTTTGACAAACCTTTCTCCGGAGCTATCTGCAGCTTAGGGCACTTGTATGGATAGCCAGGTAAAAACCTAACAAAGCGAGAAATGGGAAATCACAAAGAGGCATGATAACAGTGAACATATTAACCCAAAAGAAAAGTGAAACTAAGGAAGAACCACTAACCTCACAGAAAGAAGGGCAGAAACATCTAAATCCTCATAGCCTGCATCCTTTGAGTATGGCCTGTTATTCATGCATAGAGAACTCAGTTTACATAATATGGGATGCAATTCTATGATTTTAACAATTAATCAGTTTCTGAAACCTGAGCTTGATGTTAATTAGAGGTGGTGAGTCTGAAACAACTTTGCAATCATCTTGAAATATCGCACACCTAAACATCACCATCAAAATACTGTTTAAAACAGGCTTGTGATATCAAAATAGCAAAAAAAAATTATGTTAAATTCATGGATAATTGAGAGAATCTGCAAAAAATTAGCCTAAGCAGTAACAGTAGACAACAAATTAATCTTCCATCAGAGCCTGACTAGCACTAGAGTAATAGATGCATAGCAAAAGCATAATGAGCCACTATGCTCCATTATGACTTAACAAGATTTACTCTAAAAGCTGTTACGTCCGTTATAGAAGAAGACCATAAACAATCATCCTGCTGGAACATTGTTATGCAAGAACCACTATTTAGAACCATAGAACAAACTGGTCTCTCTTTCTATCTTAAAAAACAAGACATTCCACTCCCCAACTTTCTGTTAGAAGAAAAAATCAAAGCATCTATTGTATGTTATCCTTTTTAAAAACAGAGATGGGTGATAGATCCTTTCCAGGTCCACAGAATTTACTCACAAACTCAAAACAACCCATATCAGACACTAAAGAGTTGAAGCTTTCCTTTATTTGGAGGGAACCTTTTCATGGGGCAGGACATGTCAAAAAGTTTTGGATAATTTAAAAAAAGGATAACAATGACATACAACCTAAACCAATCATAAAATCAATCATGAGCAGCATTATTTTAGTTACAATGTGTAAACCAAAATCACAAATACATTATTTAGAAGCAAAATAATTTAATCTGACAATCATATCAATTAGTGTTCGTTGTTGAAGAAACCAAAACACTTATATCATCCTTTCATAGAAATGTACCATGAGATATTTCAATAGTCACCAACCACAACAACAGGCTAAATGATTACATAGAAATTATCTTGTCTTCTGGGAGTTCCATGTTGGCTGTGCCCAATAGCAAGGGGCTAAATCATTACATGGGCCGAAATTATCAAGGAACATGGCAAACAAATGATGTAGGATATCATGTGTTGGGCATGTGATAGTTATTGGTGGGAAATTGTAGCTATATCTAAAGGAGTCATAACCACTTTGTAACCAATTTTTAGATATTGAACATTGATTGATTAAGAAATTCTCTCTATAACCTACGGTTCTCTCTCTTGTTCTTGAATGGACCCATCATTTTGGTATCAGAGCATCAGAATTGGGTCCTAATATCTCAGATTCTAACTAATTCATCACCTAATGCTATTCTATGACCTAGGCACGTGATTAGAACCATTTGTTGTGTTGAGATACAGCAAATTCGATCTAGATTCAAAGCTGCAAATTGGTTCTATTCTTGCAATTGATTTCGCGAGTTGAAATTCAACTTCGCAAGTCAAGTCCTACTCTCAGTTGCGATTTGTGTTCGGCTTTCGAGTGATGCTGGAATTCGAAGCTCTCTCTCCTTGATTCAAGTTCGCAGGACCAGTTTACATCTAGATTCTGATTTGCAACTGAAGTCCTTCGCTGTCTTGGTTTCATTCATCGACTTCACATAACTTTAATCTGGCCTGTGATTTGATTTCGTAAATCGAATCAAACTTGGGGTTTGTTCTTGTGAAAAGAAGTTCTGATCTGGGTGGGATTTGAGATTCCAGTTCGTGACTCTGAAATTCCATCGTGATTGAAGACCTAGTTTTGATTCTTCACTAGTCTTGATCGAAGGAGACCTTCGTACTACTTGGGTCTTTGTTCTTCGACTCCCTTGTCCAGACTTGGGTTTGTCCATGAGAATCGAAATTAGGCTTGGCTACTCTTGGGTCGCACGATTTCCAATCCTCTAGCCGATTCTTGCAATCTGGGTTGACCAAAGCCTGGCTTCCACAGTCGACTTCAACATTTGGTATCGACTTCAACACCTTCTTCAATATTTGACTTCAAATCTGGGCTTCTTCCTGGGTTATTTGAACCATCTGGGTAAGTGCCTCCACTTCTCTGTTTCAATTCTTGACTTCAAATCAATTTCGGTAACTTGATTCTTGAATTGGACATTGGGTGGTTCTTGAATATCTAGGTTTTGATTTGCTGGATCATTTCCTATTGTTCACTATGCTATGATTGGTAACTTGTTGTGCTATTTGTTGTTGACCAATTGGGTTTGTGATTATTGTGCCTTTGAACATTCACGGATTTTAATGGCTCAATGGGGTCGAGGTCGTCAGGGTGCTCGTGGTAGGGCTTATGTCCTAGATTTGGGTGATGATGCCGAGGATAATGGGGTCCCATATCAAAGAGATGAAATGGTTGAGATGAGACGGCAAATTGCCACTTTAATCAAGACAGTGCAACGTCTCCTACCTCCTATTGAAGTGGTAGTAATGGTTCCAAGGATCGTCAATTTGATGATTCCTTCAATGCTCTACATAAGCATAAAGCACATTCACATGAGTTGATTCTAAATGGAATGACACCATAAACGATTTTAGAGTCTTCCGAATTCTGTGGAAGCTACAATCCGGATGTGTTCAAGGAATGGTTGAAGACAATTGAGAATCATTTGGAGTGTTATGATGTGCCAAAAGCAAGGAAGGTGAAATTAGTGTACCTCTGATTGGTGGAAACAATTACAAGTTGGTAGGCAAAGAAAAGGCCAAGAAAGGGTTGGAGAGTAAAGGAAGATGAAGAAGAAGCTGAAGGAGCACTTCTTGCCTTCTAATTGCATGCCACCTTTGTTGGGCATTTCAAGTTCCGGACATCAATACCAAAACGGCTTTGCAATCAAACCACCATCCTATGACTATGTCCAAGTCAGTTATTCAACTAACTTTGATTAGACTTTTGATGAGGGATGTCATCATAAGATGGTGATGAAGAACATGAGGAAGTTGATGCTTGTGAGTACAAAGAAGAAGTTGATGCTTGTGAGTACGAAGGAGTTTCAATTTTTGACAACAATGATGATGAAGATGATGACCTTCTTGTAGAAATTGAAGGCGTACATGAGGATAAAGAAATATCGCTTCCCATGAAGGAAGTGGTTTCAATCCCACCTAACCCTTTTCTATATTCTGTGAAAATTATGGTGAAAAGTCGTGACATTGAAGTTACATGATTGTTGAATGAGCTTTGCTTCCAAGAAATGCCTCTTATGCTATCTTAAAAGCCATTTGTTCCACTTTGTGTTCGTGTAGATGAGTTTATTCTTGGGCCATGCGAGAAGCATTATTTTGATGACATCTTGCTTCCAAAGCAACATGCTATATAGGTGGACGATTCACACCTCAACATGACTTCGGTTGATGTGCATAAACGAGAACTCGTTTTCATGGAAGGATATTTGCCAGGGTAATCTTGAATAAGGACTTGCAACTACTTAGTCACTTCCCTTGTTACCGGGTTCTTCTTGCACAAACACCATTTCCTTTATTGTAGATTAGTTTCCTTTGTAGAATTTGTTTGTATGGTACTTTCTAGTTTTGTGTTTCATTTCTAGCACATTAGTTGCACTTTGTTTGTCTTCACTTGAGGACAAGTTCTTTCGAGTGGGAGAGTGTGATATAGAATATCCTGTGTGTTTGGCACGGGATAGGTAGTGGTGGGTGATTGTAGTCTATATCTAGAGGACTCATAACCACTTTGTAACCAATTTTTAGATATTGAACATTGATTGATTGAGAAATTCTCTCTCTAGAACCTAGGGTTCTTCTCTCTCTTATTTCTCTCTCTTGTTCATGAAAGGGCCCATCAACAAATTACAAAATATTATTGGATAGGTATGCGACCATGTGGTAGTTTCCACCACCACCAGCAGGGAAGCCACCCCCCCCCCCCCCCCCCCAAACAAAAAAAAAATGCCTATTCCTAGGAGGTTGTTCCACAACAAATTGATGGACAAAAAAGGTGGCTCTTAGCATTGTTTGCTACAGCAAATAATCACACATCAAATTGTGAATGGACAGATACTACAAGACGTTGAGAACATATGCTATCAATGAAATACACATGCACTAGGAAAAAAGTGACAGCTAATGACTTGGCGAAATCAAAAAAAAAAAAATGCAAAAGCATTAGTTGTGTAGACATTTAAATGAAAGCATTAGTTGTATGGACATTTAATGAAAAACATTTGTTGTATGGGCATTTAAATGAGAAAATTAAATTAGACCAATTAAAAACCTAAAAATTGATCAATAAAGGCCATAGGGTAAAGGAATCTTAATCCAATCTTGTACACCTGTTTAGCACAACTGTGCCCCAACCTTCATGCATGCACAGCATCTGTTTTTTAAATGTTTTTCCTTTCTTTTTTTTCTTTTTCCCTTATTTTTTTTTTCTTTTTTGATCTGATTCATGTGGTGGTTAAAAAATGTAAATACTAGTAGTGCTATTGAAGGGGTCTTTGAAAAATAGAGCATATCTACTTGGGGATTTTCGAATGTGTGGTAGAATTCTGTAGAAAGAACACTCATTATCATTAGAGAATTCAAATTTCAATACGGTTTTCAATCATAAAATGCTTGTTCATAATCCAACTGATAAAAGATCAAGCTAGCTCACATAAACATCAACACAGTAGTAAAGCAAGTGAAAAACTTTTTGTAGAATAAGTCATATCTACCAGGATTTTTCCACAGTTCGCCTGGCCACCAACAGTGATGTAATATGGAAGTGCACACTGCGGTTAGTGAAAGAGGCAAGCAGAAGCACATAATGTGGGCCCCACAAGTCCATGGTAACAAGGAACTAGCAAGAAATGCAGTAAAGGCGCATACTAATGTGAACAGTGCACAAGAAGCATTTGTAGGTGTTTGTACCAGAAAGTAAAATGATTATTATTGTAATTATTTTGTATTTATGCAAGACATTGCCAATGTAGAAGGAGTGAAAATGAACACGTTATATTGCCAAACACATGGCATATATTTGTTCACTTAGAAGTTAAGAGAATAGAAGAATATGGTAGAACACATGGAGAATCCAGATGAGTTGGTTTTGCATGGAAAGTGATGTAGGACAGCTTAGTGGATTTTTAAAACAGAGGCTATTTGATGGCCTAAACAATGAGTCATTTAAGATTTTAATGCATAAATTGAAGGCTAGTAGATATAGGAAAAAATTAGGGTTAATTTGGGGGCAGTTGGATAGGATTTTAGCGTTGACAATTGGACATTTAGAGGGCTGTAAAAAGTAACCAGAGAATAATAACTACAGTATGCGCGCAAAGACGAAGAAAACGAAGAAGCAGAGAGAGAGAGAGATGTTTCACCCTCGCACAGATAAGGCCAATCACACAAAACACAATCTCAAATTCTCATAATATCAACTCTTCATTGAATCGTTGAGATAACACATATTTATATGCTAAAAACTCTCCTAGGACTATGACTCAAATTTGAAAACGAAGAATATTTGGTTACTACTACTCTAGTCCAAATAGGATTCCAAATAAAATCCATATAACATTACTTGACGCGCAAGACACCCATGGACTGTGACTACAAATCATGTCCAGCAATTATTGAACTTGCCATAATACCCCTAAGTACTGAAACCTACTGTAATAATATAAATTTGTCAAACTTAGTAAATTATAATAAATACAAATCAAGACTCAAAATTAATCCAAAACTTCAATCCTTGACGCCCTAAACATGACAAGAATGAAGATGCATAAAGCAGGCAGTTACCTGAGAAGTTCTGGTTGTAATTTTTTCTCTATAAATATAAGTAATGGCTACATTGCAAGGGATCTCTCCCAACACAAAATGACTTGATCAATCCTCTAGGATTTTTTTTCTATCATAGGAGCATATGTAACTATAGCATAGATCTCCCCTTTTCAAAAAAAAAAAAATTCTTCTTACTAAAGAAGAAAATAGCGAGATTAAATTCTACTTTTTTAGATTTTATCAAATTAATGTATCCACTAGAAAGAAGAAAAAAAAAAAAAAAGGGGCAAACTAACTATTAACTCTTAAACTAATATCCAATTTCTAAAAAATGATTTCTCACTACTGTTTGAGCTCATGTATAAATATAATACTAAAAATTACAAATAAATCAATGTATCATGATCGTACCCATATCCTATTATTTTAAATTTTATCATATCCCTGTTACAGCATCTTGTAAGGCTACAAAGTTTGCAAGGTATTTACCTTGTTTCAATCTCATTTCAATTTCTTAGGCCATCTTGAGTAAAAATAGAGTACTCCAATGGCCATACTCAAATTCTAGTATAATTTTGAGTAGAAGTTTGATAAATGGCACAATTGTAAATTGAGAAGCTATTATATGACCCCAAATTGTCTTTAAAATTTTGGGTATAAAAAAGGTCTCCCTTGATTTGCATTAAAATTTGAGTAAAAGTCATTTGGTATGAGTTTGAGTAAAAAAGAGAGACATTTTGAGCATTTTTACTCAAATTTAAATTTGATATGACCCTTACCTCCTCTTTCATTTTTTGTTTATTTCCTTTACACAAAGAATTTAAAAATCCTTTTCATTGAGGCAAAAAAAAAAAAATACCTTCAACACATTCATTTAGTTTATTTATTTGGCCAATCATGTGAATTTTCATCTTTTTCGGCATGCCTTTTCTTTGGGAAAATAATTTATACCAAACATGAGTAAATTTAAAAGCTAGGATTTTAGAATTCTTGTAGAATGAAGTATGGGTACCTAGCTTCTTTGCTTTTTGTTTTTCGTTTTTCAAGTATAAATATAAATAAATGTGGCCTTCATATTCAGTAGAATTACAAGAGCACGAGACAAGTATTAGCGGTAATGTCCCCCACAACACAACTAGGATTCACAGAGCATCTACAATAAACAATCCTAAACAAACGTGTGAGAGTGTAGAATCTTTGTAATATCAAAACATCTACAAATACTTTATACCTAGCAAATAACTAATCAAAAACTAATCAAGTTCTAAGGCAATGAAAGGATGCCCGGAAGGCAATCCATGAGCTCCCCACCATAATTCAACTGAGACTACAACATGCACAAATTTCATGTTGCATATTGTTTGGTTCCAATTTTCTAAAAATTGAGTGTTTTTTGGTTTTTCGCGTTTTTTTTTTTTAGTGAATTTTTTTAATATTTTAACAATCTTTTTACCTTTTAAGATACACTTAATATAAATACAAATAAAAAGGTATAATATTTGTGAATAAAAGCTTTAAAAAAATTCATTAAACACCAAAAATACGAAAATTGAGTACATCGCCATAGTCTTTGAACCAAACAAGGTGATTTGATTTTTATTTTTTTTTTATTTTTAAAAAAAGGTGAATCAGAATCATAAACTGAAACCAAACAGCAAGCCAAAGACACCCTTCAAATGATGTAATTGACTGATTAGAATATGGTTTATCTGAAACCAAGTGTAGAACACCAACTAAAGAAAAGAAAAAAAAAAAACTCACAATGCGGTCATTTCCTCAGACAGAATATTGTCATCGCCACCGCTGCCGCCGTAAAAACTGTGATCCTTCAACGGAGCCCTGCCCTTGTTCCGCCGCCCACTACCACCGCCTCGCTTCTTCTTCTTCGAACTGTGCCCCATTCTTTATATTAGCAAGCTCTTATTGATCAAACTAACAATTCGGATGAATCAGGACTTTTGATGAACCCTAGAAGTAGACGGATTAATTGAAGAAGAAGCGTGAAATCTAGGTTCATCTCCGATTTTTGACTTGTTGAAACACCCAAAAATGGAATAAATAAATGAATAAATAATTAAGGGAATTTAATGTATTTGATTTTATGGGTCAATAACACCCTCTCTCACTTTTTAAAAATTATATTGCTTTCACAGATTACAGATTTTTTTCAGTAGTTTAATTTTTTTAAATATTAATTTTGTCCTTACTAGGTAAATTACATTGATACTTCTTACATTTTAGAAATTACAATCTCCTCCTTAAGGTTTAAAGTAACATTACCAATTGTTCCTCGGTTAGTTTTAGTTGAGAAAAAAATTTATTGAAAAAAAAATTTAATTAGAAATAAAATTATTTGAAAAAAAAATTAATTGAAAACAAATTTTGTCAATAAAATTTTTAAATTTCTGTTTAAAAACTAACGTAAACTCATTTTTTGAATTTACGTTTTTTCCTTAAATTTACAAACTGAGACAATAATTTATAAATCAAAAAAATTATCAAATAAGTTTTTATGATAGTTTTTTAAATTTTTGTAAATATAAATTGAAAACTGAAAACGAAATGGATACCAAAATAGGTCTCAGATGGTAAAAATATCGTAAAATTAACAAATAGCTAAATAAGTTACCAACGTAATAAATAACTTATCAAAAGATTCGTACGCTATGTATAGTTTGATTTTTAGAAAAAAAATTTAACAATTAAAAATTAATTTGGTTAAGAAATAAAAAATAAAAAATAATTATCATTTTAACTTTTGGACAGGTTATATACATACGTATGGTTATTTCAATTTAATTTGTAAAAATTTATTTCTAATCACTCGAAAGATAATAATTTTTTCTTTTTTATTTCTTAACCAAATTAATTTTTAATTTTTTAAAAAAAAAATCTAAAAATCAAACCATATATAGCCTAAGAATCTTTTGATAAGTCATTTTTTACATTGGTAACTTATTTAATTATTTGTTAATTTTACAACATTTTTACCATCTGAAACATGTTTGGTAACCATTTTGTTTTCAGTTTTTAATTTATATTTACAAAAATTTTAAAAACTGTCATAAAAACTTATTTGATAATTTTTTTGGTTTATAAATGGTTGTCTTAGTTTGTAAATTTGAGGAAAAAAAGTAAATTCAAAAAATGAGTTTACGTTGGTTTTTAAACAGAAATTTAAAATTTTGACTAACAAATTTTTTTCAATGAATTTTTTTCAACTAATACTAACCGATGGAGTAATTAGTAATGCTACTTTAAACCTTGAGGAGTGGATTGTAATTTCTAAAATGTGAGGGGTGTCAATGTAATTTACTCAGTGAGGGTAATATTGGTATTTAGAAAAATTAAATTGCTGGAGGGAGTAATTTTTAATGAAACTTTAAACCTTAGGAAGGGGATGTAATTTCTAAAAGGTGATGAGGAGAACTGTAATAATGTAATTTACCCAAAAATAAATAAATAGATAAATTGATTTTATGGGTCAATAACCAAAAATTTAAAAAAAAAAAATTTACCACACGGTGAATAGGAAAAAAATTTACAAGAATATGTAGGGCTGAAGTTTTTATGGGGGCATTTCCCTAAATAAGTCAAAATAGTAAATCAATTTCCAAACTAAGCCTAGTTTTGAAAGAATTCTCAAAATAGGCTAAATCGCGGTTGTGAACCAAGATTTCAACACATATACGCCTCTCTCGCGTGGGAGTTGGGAAATATTAAAATCGTGGTTACAAAACGCGCTTTTGATTAAGAAATCGCGGTTACAAAACGCACTTTTAGTTAATTTTTTTTTCTTTTGAACTCGCTGTTCCAAACCACGATTTTAACCAAAAAAAAAAATTTCCTAAACTCGCTGTTTCTAACCACGATTTTATAAAAAAACATTTTTCTTCTAAACTCGCTTTTCCTAACCACAATTTTATCAAAAAACATTTTTCTTCTGAACTCGCTCTGTCGAACCACGTTTTTTGGGCAAAATTTTTTTCTTCTGAAATCGTGGTTATGAACCACGCTTTTAGCGTAAATTTTTTTTTTTGGTTTTTTTTTTTTTGTTTCTGTTGTCATTGTTTTGGTGATAAATTTATTTCAGAATAATTTTTTTGGTTACAATTGTTTTACTAAAACCGTTCTCATGTTAATTTTTTTTCTTTTCTTTTGTCTTTATTTTGGGTTAGAATGTGTAATTCAGCATTTTTTTTGGCTTGACTAAAGTAAATTTATTTTGTTTTTTCTTGTGTTTGTTTTGGGTTAGAAGGTAATAACGTAATTCATAATTTTTTTGAGCTTTAGTAAAGCCGTTTTGATGTAATTTTTTTTTTTATTTTTTTTTTTCTTTGTTTTGGGTTAGAATGTGTTATTCAGTAATTTGTTTGGGCTTTAATAAAACCGTTTTCATTTAAATATATATATTTTTTCTTTTATCTTTGTTTTGGGTTAGAAGGTGATAAGGTAATTCATAAATTTCTTTTCGCTTTACTAAAGTCATTTTCATGTGAAGTTTTTTATTTTTTATTTTTTTCTCTTATCTTTGTTTTGGGTTAGAATGTGTTATTCAGAAATTTGTTTTGGCTTTACTAAAGCCGTTTTCATGTAAATAAATTTTTTTTTTCTGTTGTCTTTGTTTTGGGTTAGAAGGTGATAATGTAATTCATAAATTTCTTTTCGCTCTACTAAAGTCGTTTTTATGTAAAGTTTTTTATTTTTTTATTTTTTCTCTTGTCTTTGTTTTGGATTAGAATGTGCTATTCAGAAATTTGTTTTGGCTTTACTAAAGCCGTTTTCATTTAAATAAAAAATATTTCTGCTGTCTTTGTTTTGGGTTAAAATGTGATAATGTAATTCATAAAACCTTGAGGAAAAAACACATAAGTCTCCCACAAAAATACGTAGGTAGTACAGACATAAGTCTCGAACAACAATACATTGTGGACACCATGAACTGAACACACAATATATAGATAAACATAACAGTTAGACAGATAAATATTAGCCAGACAATCTGACAAACTCATTACGGAAACACTTACTCTAACACAGACATTACATATTAATGCATGACCTAATATTGCCGAAGTGTAGACATTAACACCTAATTCGCGCTTAAATCGGTAGGTGGCTCAGAGTCTGCATAATCCGAAAGCTCAGCGTCAGAGACAAGCTCAGGATCCTCCATGATACCCTTGATAGCCGCATCATTTGGTTCTGTTTTGTTCTTTCGGGCATCCTTCTTAACTATGTATAGCTGCATATCGCGGGCTAACCTACGGCCCATTTGAGAAATCTCACGTTGTACTCTTTCACATAGTCGATCAACATTATCAGGATCTTCCTTTTGGATCTCAACAGAACGTGCTTTTGGCACCTTCAGTCGATTTTCCCGACATAATCTTTCCATTTGCACTCTCTCTATAAATAGTGCGGGCCACTTTAGAAGTCTAGCGTTTGCTAAACCATATCCTATTTGATTATCTAATGGTTCCTCCACCAAACCACATGGATCTCGATAGTACTTGGGCATGACAAAATGTCGCTTCCCAAACCTATCATGATAAGCACAAGAGGCATCTAACAAAGGAAATGGTGTTTCATCTTCAGCATCGCCACTTCCTCTTCCCCCTCCTCGTCGTGAACTGTCACCCCTTTGCAAGTTCCTACCACCTCTGCGATTCCCACTCCCTCCCATGAACCATGTAGCCATGCTAATTTTTTAAAACAAATGAATGATAATTTCGTAGGGCGAAATGAGTTGTAAGGTTGTGTCTTCACCTTTAGTCGTTTATATAGTTGATTATGAATGGCTTTAGAAAGATGCCTCTGCATGACAATCCCATATATACGAACGAGGTATGAGTTGTCACTAGAATGAAAAAACAGAGTAAAGCAACTACTGTGTACCAAGTCACGTGACTTAACAATCCATCTGCATATACCAACAAAGTAAGGGCATGCTCACTGTAAGGTAAATCAGTGAATTCACTGTTGACATGTGACTTTCTGAATTGAGAATCTCACATATATCAAATTGGTGTTGAGGTAAATCTGTTTGTGTATAATTAATTGTAAATAGTGATTTTGACAAGCAATTCAAGTAAAACCAATTGGGTTTTAAATTTAGTTCCCCAACTGGACCAACCACTTGGCTTTGAGCTTGTTTGTCCAGCCCCCCCAAGTTTAGTTATCTGTCAACCCCCCATTCCTTACCACAGTCATCATTTTGACTGGACTTCCAAGAATTGGAAGGCGACTCTTTCTTCTTTCCCGATGGAGATTGAAATTCTTTACGTACAGGATTCCTATTTCACGAGCCCCAGTTAAGGGAAGCTTTTCACCGAGCTACCTGTTCTGTTTTATGTGTTTTAGGTATTCACATAATTCAACATACATTAATCCATTCATTAATCCAGAACATTCATTAACTCATTGCAATTCAATAAAGAAAGTCATGAACTAATAAATGTGCAGTTATAAATGTAGTTATTTCATAAACTTTAGGTTCATAAAACAAATACTTGAAATACATCCGTACGTTAGATGAACAACAACATTGTCTTACACTCTAGTAACGAAGATATGAGACAACATACAAACATATATGAAAGATAAAGGTGTTTGATTTCTCATTCCTCATCTGTCATGTAATAGTTAGAGAGATATTTTTCATTGTTTAAGACATTATTTCGCTCAATCACTGCCAAATCTCTGTTGCTTGCTTCTGCCATTTCGGTGGCTAGCTGAAGCATGAAATGTCGACATCCCGGGAGGGAATCTCCCGTTTTGTTCATTTGAGCTCACTACAGTTCGGACTCAAATTGTCACAATTCTTAATCTGATCTCACAATGTGCGATGTGAGATTGATAAATCACCAAAGAGTCCAAATCTGGAAAATCGTTTTGAAAAACAAATTTTTAGGAAGAAGTGCCAAACATGGACTGCTTTGCCAGATACAGAGTCGCCACCTAAATATTTTTTATGGGGGAATTTAGGAAACCCTGACTCATTTGCCTAAGGCCACGTGTCCGTCATCACCAAAGTTGTCTCGGCTCGGGAACTTGGGTA